TGCTTGATAAAATGCCTGACCTGTGAAATTAACTGCTATATCTGTTGAAAGAGAGAACGATGATTAGAATATGAAGTGTTAGAAGTTCAGCTAAGAATTACATGCAGAGAAGATAATTGATGACTTGCCTATCATCCGTAGTGCAGGAGCGGCCATTGGCAATGGCGCAAATTCAACTACCTTGAACTTTGAAGAACCAGATTCTTCAACCTTCTCTTTATTGGTGGATTTGGAGCTAGAACTGAAAGTTAAATTTTTATCTTGGAAATTTTCTTCTCTTTACTAATTTTCACTATTTTTTTTTAAAATTTTTTTGTAATCTATATATGAGTTATATATTTCTAGAATAAGAGAAAATGCCGTAGTATTTACTACTACATTTATAGTAAAATTTTTACAGTAAAATATTAGACATTATTGCACTTTTGAGTATATAATTGAGAGGATGCATTTTTTAGTATATAATTGAGAGGGTATAATTAATCTAAATACCACATGTGAACTTTCATATTTGTATTTTTTTTTTCTCAACACTCCCCTTGAGTTACCTTATTAAAACCCTTGCTAGGTAAAACCCTATGGGATAAAAATCATAGCTAGGGAAAAAGGAGTACAACGATATTATTGTATTATATGTTTTGGCATACTGTCTCGTTAAAAACCTTTTCCATGAGGGATAAAAACCAGATCGAAGGGAAAAAGAGTGCAGTGCATATAATACTCCCCCTGATTTCAGCATAGTTCACGAAGATGTCGCATTCCAATTTTGTGGACTAATAGCTCAAATTTCTTGGAAGGAAGTGATTTAGTGAACAGGTCGGCAAGGTTGTCACAAGACTGAATTTGCTGGATATCTATTTCCTCATCCTTTTGCAGATCATGTGTGAAGAATAGTTTTGGGGATATATGTTTTGTTATATCTCCCTTAATGTATCCTTCAATTACTTGAGAGATGCATGTTGTATTGTCTTCAAAGATGGTGGTTGGATTTTCTGTTATTGCTTTCATTCCACACTCTTCTTGGATATTACTAATCATCGACCTAAGCCATACACATTCTCGTCCTGCTTCATAAAGGGCTATCAACACTGCATGATTTGAGGATGTCGCAGTCAATGTCTGCTTTGTTGATTTCCATGATATTGCAGTGCCGCCATAAGTGAACAGATATCCATTTTGTGACTTGGCATTTTGAGGATCTGATAAATATCCAGCGTCGGCATACCCAATGAGGGCAGCATCTTGTTTCGGTTGATAATATAAACCAAGGTCTTGTGTTCCTCGTAGGTGTCAGAGTAGGTGTCGGACTCCCTTCCAATGCCTATATGTTGGTGCATTGTTGTGCCTGGCTAACAAGTTCACAGATAAAGCTACGTCGGGTCTAGTGTTGTTAGTTAAGTACATTAAGGCTCCAATTGCACTTAAGTATGGTACTTCTGGACCGAGAATTTTTTCATTTTCTTCTCGTGGTCTGAATGGATCATTTTTCATACTCAGAGAACGAACAACCATTGGGAAGTTGATTGGAGTTGCTTTGTCCATGAAGAATCTTTTCAAAACTCTTTCTGTATAGTTTGATTGATGGACAAAAATACCATGACTCAAGTGCTCGATTTGCAATCCAAGGAAAAATTTAGTTTTTACAAGGTCTTTCATCTCAAATTCTTTCATTAAGTATTTTCCAGTTTTCTCAAGTTCATTTGGGGTTCCAATGATATTCAAATCATCAACATAAACTGCAATAATAGTGAATCCTGATTGTGATCGCTTTATGAAAACACATGGACTAATTTGGTTGTTCTTGAACCCTTCTTTCATAAGGTAGTCACTGAGATGGTTATACCACATCCTTCGAGATTGTTTCAATCCATAAAGTGACCTTTTTAGTTTTATGGAAAGTATTTGTCTAGGTTTGTGGTTTTCTGGTAGTTTTAGTCCTTCGGAGACTTTCATGTAAATGTATGTATCGAGTGACCCATACAAATACGCAGTCACTACATCCATTAATCGCATTTGCAGTCCTTTTGTGACTGTCAAACTTACTAGAAATCTTAATGTAGTTACATCAACTACTGGAGAATATGTTTCTTCATAATCAATCCCTGGGATTTGAGAAAATCCTTGGGCTACAAGCCTTGCCTTGTATCTAACTATCTCATTTTTCTCATTACGTTTTCTCACAAATACCCATTTGTATCCAACGGGTTTTACACCTGCTGGTGTAAGAGTTATTTTTCCGAAAACTTCTCTTTTTTCAAGTGACTTCAACTCAGCAAGCATTGCCTCCTTCCACTTTGGCCAATCACTCCTGTGTCGACATTCTTCCACTGTTCTTGGTTCAACATCATTTTCATCAGACATAATGTCGATTGCGATGGAATTTGCAAATATTTCATCCATGATAACATCTTTCCTATTCCACTGAGTCTTGGTAGAGACATAATTCATTGCAATTTCATTGTTATCGATGTTTTGAACATCTTGTTCATTCCCCGTAGGGTTGTTTTCTTGTTCGTCCCCTTTTAGATTATAATAATTTTCTTTACTTTCATCCTCATTTGGTCTTTCTTTACCTTCTGACGGGTGAACATCATTAGTCTCATTTTCTATTCCATCCAATCTTTTCAATTCCTTGGTTTAGAATCTTTTGAACCTAGTGGTCTCCCATGCTTTCTGCGTGCTTGAGATTCATTCTCAATGGCCTTATTATCAGTTGGGATTTCAATACGTGCAGGGGCATTTTCTGCTGGTATATGTGATTTTGTCACCTTCTTTGTGTCTACAAATGCATCAGGCAATTGATTTGCAACACTTTGTAAATGAACAATTTTCTTGACTTCTTGTTCACACATATTTGTTCGTGGGTCTAACATCAACAGTTGTGTTGCATTCCAAATAAGTTCTATTTCTTTCTTGCGTGGGTCCACTTTCTTTCCCCCCTAAGGCTAGGAATACTGCTTCATTAAAGTGACAGTCAGCAAATCTAGCCGTAAATAAGTCACCAGTCAATGGTTCAAGATATTTAATTATAGAGGGGGATTCAAACCCGACATAAATTCCAAGCCTTCTTTGTGGACCCATTTTTGTTCGTTGGGGTGGAGCAATGGGAACATATACAGCACAACCAAAGATTTTTAGATGTGAGATACTTGGTTCTCTACCACAAACAAGTTGTAGTGGTGAGAATTTATGATAAGCTGTAGGTCTCAATCTAATTAGTGCTGCTGCATGTATTATAGCATGTCCCCAAGCAGATGATGGCAATTTTGATCTCATTAATAATGGTCTTGCAATCAATTGTAATATCTTAATTAGTGATTCAGCTAGACCATTTTGTGTATGAACATGAGCTACTGGGTGTTCAACCTCAATTCCGATTGACATACAATAATCATTAAATGTTTGGGATGTAAATTCCCCAGCATTGTATTATTTTCTTTATTGTATGATCTGGGAATTGTGCAAAGGCAACATTTCTACTTGAAAGCAGACTGACATGTGACCATCGTGTAGAAGCATCAATTAAAACAATGAAATATCGAAATGGTCCACATGCCGGATTAATTGGCCCACAAATATCTTCCTGAATTCTTTCCAAGAATTTTGGGGATTCAGTGACAATTTTGTTCATAGATGGCCTTATTATTAATTTATCGAGTGAACATGCAGAGCATGTTAATTCATCTAATCGAGGAATTTTGACATTTCTTATTGAATGTCGTCCAACTGAATTTGTTATTATTCTTTGCATCATCCCAGTTGCTGGATGTCCCAAACGATCATGCCATAAAATAATCAAATGTTTTTCATCTAACTTCTGGTTAGATATCATATTGATTTCCACGGGTCGTATATTTATACGATATAACCCCGAAGAATATGCTCGCAATTTCTCCTAAATGTGTTTCTTACTATATTTTCCTGCCGTGAGGCATAAATACTCCTTTTGACCTGTTGTCATTGTTTCTAAATGATAGCCATTTTGGCGTACATCTTTAAAGCTTATAGATTTCTTATAAAGCATTATCGATCATCAATTTTGTTCCATTTAGAAGCATTATACAAGCCTTTCCAGATCCTTCAAAAAAAATTTGCTGACTCGGAAATAGTGTTTACATTTTCCTGAAACAACTTTAGTTGTGAAAAATATTTCTTATCCTTCAAGATAGTGAGTGTTATTCCACTATCCAAAAGGCACTGATATTCAGAACCAACTTCAGGCATATCCATATCTTCATAAATATGAGATTAGTTTAGAATAATATCATACAAACCTTTTATTGATGCTAGAAATTAAAAATACACGACTAGACATTTAAAATACAGTACATAACAGAAAATACATTAAAACATAGTATATATTACATTAGTAGATGGGTTATCTAAGCATTGTTATTTTCTCCAAAGATGAAATCATTTCCAATTTCAGCATTGTCCATGAAGAAATCGGACACATCAAGGGTAGGACATGGAGCATTTTCTTCATTAACATAATTAACTTTTGCATTTTTCACTTTGCCTTTTACAGAAGCCTGGTAGAGGTCTACCAAATGTTTGGCCGTACGACAAGTACGTCCCCAATGTCCTGTCATGCCACATCTATAACATGTGTCTTTTCCTCTTGAAGGAGTTTGTTTGTGGCTTCCAGATGGCTGTCCCTTCTGTTTTTCAGAATTTTTGAAATTACTGTTTCTTTGAAAATTATTTCTACCACGTCCTCGGCCTTGTCCGCGATAATTTCCACGGCCATTGTAATATCCACGTCCACCTTTTCGTGTAGCATTTGCCTTCGGGTGGATAAGAACTTGTTGCATTTGCCTCATGATGAGTGGCCAAAGACCCAGTTGGTCTAAGATTATGATTTTTCAACAAAAGATCACTATTTTGTTCCGCAACAAGCAATACACTCATTAATTCATTAAACTTTTTGAAACCTCTTTCACGATATTGTTCTTGCAACAGTATGTTGCTTGCATGAAAGGCAGTGAGTGTTTTTTCAATCATCTGTTCATCGGGGACTTGATGATCACATGTATGGTTGAATTGTAATCAATTACAGATTTGAAATCCTGAAACCGTAAATTTGTCCAGTTAAATAATGCCTTAGGAAGTAGCACCCTTTTATGGTGTCTAAATCTTTCATTAAGGCAATCCCATAATTCTTTGGGATCTTCAACCATCATGTACTCAGTTTTAAGGTCTTCATGTAAATGATGCCTTAGTAACACTAAGACTTTTGCCTTTTCTTGTTCAGTTACAGGTTTTACAACCGTCATTGCAGAAGTGGTAGCATCAATTGTTTGACCAGAGGGTCTTTTATTATCTTTAATAGTGTGCTCCAACCCTTGAGCTTTTAAATTCATCATGGCATCCACTTTCCATTCCAAAAATTTCTTTCCAGATAAATCTAGGATGCTGAATTGTCTTTTCATAAGATCTCCCATTTTAACTACAACAAATTACGTGATAATTAGTTTATAATAATAAATCATATGTACAGCACATATGTTTAATTCTTCCATATTTATAGTTTGTTAATGAAACACAAGATAATTAAATTTATTTAACAATAATAAACCATAAATAATATAGTTCTTTCTCCCCCTTGGTTTATTATTGTGAGTAATTATATAATTAGGCAAAATAAATCATATTAGTCGCATAAACAACAAAACGACAACAACAACAGTAGTAATAATAATTATAATAATAACGGTAATTTTATACAATGATGTTTAATAACAAAAAACAACATAATAAAACAAAAACATGCTTTTAATCTACTAAAACGACAAAATAAACAAACTTCACTTGTACATCATGATAAAAATCAATATTGCTACTAACATAACTACAAGCGCCATAATTAGAAGAAAAATATTGTTTTATCTTCCTTAAATCTTCCTCAAAAGTGAAGGTGTGGGTGTTTTGGTTGCCGTCGTCGGGGAACATATCAGAGAAGAAGGGGTGAAAAATTTTGGGTGATTTTTGGATAAATAAGAAAAATGGAAAATGATAAGGGATTTGTGGTGAAAATCGGGGGAAAATCTGCCTTTTATAGAGGTAGGTTATCTGTTACTATTCTGTACAACTGTAAAAAATATCATATAATAGTCTAATGTGCTGGCAAAATTATGAACCAAATATAAATATTTATAATTGTAAAAGGTTATCACACTGGGAATGCAAGCCATAGTGGTCCGAGAGTCCTAATATCTATAAAAGATCATGGGTTCGAAAACTGAAAGAAACACAAAAGGAACGTAAACAAAAGAAAAATAATAAGTATAAATTGCTGCATTTTTTTTTGTCAATTTAGTTAATAATATGCATGCAAAGTTACCACTAAAATCAAATTTTACGTAAAAGATGAGCATGTAATATCAACATGCATGAATCAAACAATAAACATCAACATGAATAAAACAAGGGAGAATAATAATGAATTTCATAAATAAGAGAATTAATATCAACATGCATGAATCAAACAATAAACATCAACATGAATAAAACAAGGGAGAATAGTAATGAATTCATAAATAAGAGAATTCCTCCATCGTTGTTTTAATAGAGTAAATGTTTGAGTTTCTAGTATAGAGGATCCCAAAATATGGGCAAGTATAGAGCATACTTCTCAAAACATTTAGAAGTAGATAGTATTTATTTGTTATAATTTTGAGAAGTAGGTATAAATATACCTGACTAGGAATTGGTGCTGATAACGTGTTAAAAGAAACTTTATTGATAGAGAAATTTTGAGTGAAGAGAATGTAAAGATAGAATCAGTGAAAATGCCGTAGTATTTACTACTACATCAAGTCTCAATTTATTATAAAATTTTTACAATAAAATATTAGAAATTATTGTACATTTGAGTATATAATTGAGAGCATATAATTGATCTAAATACCACATGTGAACTTTCACATTTGTATTTTTTTTCTCAACAATTCGTATATTAACTAGTTTAAGGCACGGGCGATGCCCCAGATTTTGTTTAAATAAGAATGAAAAAAATACCTTAAGATTTGAAACACTAGGGATTCTGAAAAGGGTTTTTACAATTGGCCATAATGAATTTGCATGGTATTTTATTATAATTATTTACATATAGACAATAAATGCGTTAGATGTTGTAAACTTGTAATCGTGCAATATTTTTCGAAACTTTAGTAGAGTTAATTTAGATTTAGCAAGGAAGTGACAAAAATTATCAAGTTCTAAAAAGATAAATGTTTAGATTTAGAAACATAAATGTTTGATATACTATCTTTTTTTTCTTTTATTCTTTTTTTAAGGCTGATATACTACTACCTTGGAGTACTTATTAGGGAAATGTATTAAACAAATTTTTACGTAAGAAAAAAAGAACCTCTTAAACTTATAAATAGGGGTAAGTATGTAAACAAACATTTAAGGGGTATAAATGTCCTCACACTATTTATAAGAGCTCTCTCATAATTTTTAAAAGGTAAGGAAGCAAAAAAGAGCCTCTGAAACTTATAAATAAGGGTAAGTATGTAAACAAATATTTTAAGGGATATAAATTTTCTCACACTATTCATAAGAGCTTTCTCATACTTTTTAAAAGGTGGAGATTATCTTAAGTTTCAATAATAAAATAGAAAAAAAAATATAAGGATAGAAAGAGACGTGCAGTAGTACATGTTTTACAATTAAGTAGGAAATTGCATAATATGTTTAAAAACTTTTGGAATCCAAGTTGATGAAAAGTTACTACTCATATATGTTGATTAAGTGATATTAAATGTGGAGATTATGTACATTTTTTTTTTCTTTTTATGGTTTAGTCCCTCGCGTAGGGTTTGAAAAGGCTCTCTGCTAGGGTTTCGCTCGTTCCCAAAAAAAGTCGACTGTATTTTCTCCTAATTTTTTTTTTTATCACAAATCAATCTAAACCACTGCAATCGTGTTTCCTGAGCGTGATGGATGACCCATTAGTGAAAGCTTGGGAAAATATGAAGTTGATTGAGGATGAAAACTTTGTACTGGGTGGGTCGAGTTCGATGGTGGAAGAAGATGTTCCAAATCAACGAATTGCCCTGTCTTTCGTGGGGAAATTGCTTACAAAGAAAACTTTTAATGTTGATGCAATGAAACGAGTTATGAAAAACCTATGGTGTATTGATGATAATGTCGCAATTCGTATGGTTGATACGAACCTTTTTGTGTTCCAAATTTTCAATGCTGAAGATAAGAGGAAGGTAATGGATGGAAGGCCATGGGCTTTTGACAATCAACTCCTTTTACTTAAGGAGACTTGTGCTGATGAACAACCTTTGGATGTGTCCTTTGATTCTTGTCCTTTCTGGATTAGACTCCTTGATGTTCCATTTGGCAAACGTTCCTCTCAATTTGCGAGGGAGGTAGGTGACTGTATTAGTGAATGCATAGAAGTAGACGAATTTGATCCTTTTGGCTGGGAGGAGTATATGAGGATTAAAAGTGATGGTGAATATACGTAAACCCCTTCGTCGTGGTATGAAGATTGTTGTTGATTCGGGACATACTAAGTGGGTGGGCTTCAAGTATGAGAGGCTTGGTGATTTTTGTTATTATTGTGGTCGAATTTAACACAATGACAGGGATTGTGAGGAGAAGGATAATTGTGATAATGAATCTCCTATCGTGTTCCAATACGACCCCTTTTTGGTTGCTTCCCCTCACCGTTCGAAGGTGTCTGCAATTGAGAGGGAGAGGGAGAAAAAATGGGTGGAGAGCCTGTCATCGAAGAGGAGAGTTCAAAGATCTGATTACAATGATCCTTTTTTAATTCGTCTTGGGCCACCTGAGGCTGCAAGAAAGCTGCTATTTTCAACACCATGTGTCGGGCACTACTACTCCCAAACCTCGTGCTATTTCTTTATTAGCCGTTGTTGATGAGGGGGGCTCGAAAATAGTGCTTCGCCCAGTTGTGGTGCAGAAGGAGGGCGAGATTTCTGCTGTTAGTACTCCTTCACACGATGGGGAGAATGCGAATGTGGGTAGGGTAGAAGGTTCTGAAAGTTATGTGAAAGAAAGGCAGGAAGAAAGTTATGTAATGAGAAGTCTGGAGAGGTTGTGAGTGTTGCGACAGCTAGTAAGAAGGTGAAGAGGAGGGTCCGTATGGATGGTGCTGTTGATATGGACTTATCCGAAGGCTAGGTGGGCAGTAGTATTTCGAAGAAGAGGAATGCTGAGACTGTGCTCTCACCCTGACCAAAATCTTATTGAAAATTCAGAGAAAAAAATAAAACTATGTGTGAGTAGCTTTTCTTCTGATTTTTTTGTATCTAAAGTAGAAGGACTTGGGGATGCCTAAGCCCTTGAAAAACAATGAAAATTTTATGCTGGAACTATCACAGGATTGGCAACCCGTGGACAGTTAGGGCTCTCCAGGATCGTTGTTGGAGAGATAGGCCAAATATTGTGTTTGTTATGGAAACGATGATTGATGATAAGCGTTTAATAAAATTAAAAATAAATGTGGTTATGTTGATGGTATTTTCATTAGTAGTAATGGGAAGTCGGGGGGTATGGGAATGTAGTGGAAAGATGTGAAAGCAAATGTTGTCTCTTATTCTGTGCATCACTTTGCCATTGATATTTTGGACAATAATAATTGTGCTATGTGGAGGGCTATTGGTATCTATGGGTGGCCGGAACAATCCAATAAGCATTTGACTTGGTCCCTTATGTTGTAACAACCTAGAAATTCCTTTCCTTTAAAATACCTATTTTGCTCTTTTGAAAATATGATATAGGAAATTATGAGCTAAGACATTACCGCCACCGTGAAAACGGCTAAGGCAATTATCAAAGACTCATAGCGGAAGACTCACTTTAAAAATCATTCAAAACAAGTTAACTTAAAACCAAACCAAACGAAAGTAAAGCCAAACCAAAATCAAATGAAGTCAACCTACAACTTGGAACCATAGTAGGCCCTTATCAAAACCCAAAACGAATTTTAAAAACCTTTGTGTTAGTCTCACAAGCAAAATATATGATAATCAAAACAATAAACCACATCATATTCTTATAGAAACTAAACATGATTCGCTCTTCACTCATGCCAACCATGAATATGCTTCATAACCTGAAAAGCTTCTCTTTACTGTGTCCCCACTACTCGTCATTAGAAATGGGTTTTCGTAGGGCCAAGATAAAGACAAGGCCAAACAAACATACAAACACACAATCAGCAATGTTGAGTACATAAGCGTAAACATTACACACTAACATGCTTTCATTATATCAACACACAACTCACCTTGTTGCACCTGTTACAAGCATACAACATACCAAACGACCAACCAATAAATAAATAAATTGCTTATTTAATTTGATTACGCATTGAACGGGTTTCCCACCAAATCCCTGCCCCAAATAAATTGAGGTAAACTACACCGGGAGCTAATCCAGTAGGCAAATGCCACATGAA